CTGCAGAATGCCAACTCTGTCCCCTGTAGACCAGCCTTTTATGTAGGATGTCTCAACTTTCAAACTTGCACAATTCTACTTAGATAAATTTTGATTTTGTTATTTCACACTATTTGGGTTAATTGTTGTTAATAATTTCATGGGATGATTATATGTTATGAAGCTTTGAATGAATGGTGTTAAGTTAACACAGGTTACCAAATGGTTATGATCCAAACAGAAACGATCAAATAGTTGGACATATTAAATCATCTGATATAAAGCTATCAATCAAACTACCAAATCAACATGCACTCTCCGTATATTTGCAGTTAACAAACAAGTAAAAAACAATGCAATACTTTTCTGTTTCGCTGGCTTCATCTTTCTGGTTGTGCCAGGCAGACTACACAAATGTGTGTTGCAGCTGAGACAGGCACAAGTAAGACTACTAAAATCCCTGCCTGTTTGTTTAGGACCGCTATCAGAAAACGACGTACCATACTGTTCCATAATTGTCATTTATTTTCTCCTTGTCACTAAAAGATGTCTGAAATAAACATTTTAAAACATAACATTGGTGTGTATGGCTTGAATTATAATGATTGTGATGTTCGTTGTCGGAAATTTTAGTTAGCGCATAGCGCAGACTATTTTCCCTTATCAAAAGTATGGGGGTTGATTGCTGTCTTTTCAAAACTGTGGGGGTCATGACCCCCCATCCCCCGTGTCAGCGGTGCGCCTGGTTGTATGTCCTGTATGAGTTCTTGTTTTATATATTTATAACATGATAGTTCAGCAATATGATAAGCAGGAGTGCTGTTTTCCGAATATCCACATGGTTGCAAATGTGATTTTATACTATGGTTCAATAAACAAAAGTTAATAGCTACTAAATGACATTTTAGACACGTCAATATTGAAAATAATTCTAAACAAAGCGGAACTGTTGTGCTTCCCCCAGCAGCAGACAAAGGTGTTTTGTTTTGTTTCTGAATGAATCTGTGAATTTGAACAAATCAGGTGAATTAATGATTCAGTGACTGAATCATTAAGACTTGCTGCCACCTACTGGTGGTTTTAGTTTCTCATTTAAAAGAGGGCCTAGGGCTATTATTTTATTTTTCTGACATTTCATATTTCTATATTCAGGTGGTTTTAGTTTCTCATTTAAAAGAGGGCCTAGGGCTATTATTTTATTTTTCTGACATTTCATATTTCTATATTCAGAGTTCTATAATTACAACATTAATCACATAGGCCTAACTTTATTTTTGCAAATGCAGCGTAAATGCATTAATACCACTTCTAAATGTAACTTCATGTATCTTCTGTGGTAAGATGGATTTGATTTCATTCGACTGTTAACAATAGCCAGTTATTCATTCTCACCAATAAAGTATACAGAGGAAATCTGTTTTCATTTGTAGCGAATCAGCTCATGGGGAAATATGAATAATTAATCATAACTGGTTATAATTAATTATAAATATTTAGATCCGCTGTAGATATTTACTTGACCTCTCAGGGTCAACTGTCTGTCAATTCTAAGAACGTTAATTTCCTGGTTAAGGGAAATAACTTTCTTACTGTACAATTCTACAAAGAGCTTGTAGCATAAATCTGCATGATTAAGTGACTCCAGTTAAAACTGGTCTAACGTACACATACACACACACACACACACATACGATTGGTATAGGAAAGGGTTAAAGCTTAAGCAGTAAAGAGGAAATAAGGAATGAAGTTATGGAACCATTTGCATATTCAGCAGATTTACACCTGAAGGAAACATCAGATTCTTAGTTCAACACACCTTTGTAAAAAGGTGCAAATGATACCTAATGCATCAATTAATAAGACTAAGTTTGAATACTTGCACGGCTCGTCTGTCTGAAAGAAAGGCTTGATGCA